ACTAAGCTTAAGACCTGGTGTTCTGGCAACTGGCAGGTCAGCTCTGTATGACTCACTCTGTAAACCTTCAGCACCTTCACCTTAAGGCCCTGAGATGGGGTGTGTGTGCTGGTGGAGGGGGCTGGGGTTGGAATTAACACTGCCTTTCAAAATCCTTCTCTTTTCTTGTTCCAGGAAAAGCATAAGTAAAAGTTCTTCCTTTAAGTGGGCCGGGAAAGTCCCTACCCATTAGATCTAGGAGGACTTGGAAGGTGCAGGGAAAGGAGGAAAGCATTACTGGGTCATAAAGTGAGAACTGATAAGAGAAAGAGCAAAATAATTTAACATTGAAAGATTTAATCTAACTTTCTTGAGTGTTAGTGGAGACTGTACTTCCCTAAGTTGTTGCAAAATACATAGTAAAATACTTGAAATCTTTAGAGGCTCAGGCTTGAAATCACACACACACACACACACACACACACACACACACACACACATAGTGGGAAACCTTTCATAGCCCCTATGGAACAGTGGGAAAAGTTTGTATCTCTCTGAACCCTGGTGTTCTTTTGCATAGAAGGATAATAATTATAGCTACCTCCCAGGGTGAGAAAACTATGTAAGTAAAGTACCTTGCACATGATGTTCAATAATATTACCTGTTTTCACATGAGATGATGATACTTACAATGTAAGGAAAGGACCTTTTACTGAACATTAAAAGGAATGGGACAGTCTTACCTTTTCTAATAACTGGCTTTTCTTTTAACCAAGTATGAGGTGTGGCTCATATGAATGAGGAAGCAGTTTAAGAATGACAGCACACAGAAAACTGTCTTCATAAATCTTGGGGGAAGGCATGGAATGCTTGGCTTACCCTCCCTAAAGATCAGAGGTTCTTGTATCTTACTCCCACTCCTACAGATACAATTCACTTGACTCCTTCCTGTCCCCTCCTACCAATTTAGTCACCAAGTCCTGGGGAGGCTGCCTTTATAATTATAATCATAATAAAAATCAGAGTCATAACAATGGTAACAAGACCCATGGTGTTGCTACTTTGATCTAAAGGTTGTCTAATAAATAGTCCACTTACCATAATTTCTCTTTCCTAAACAGAATCCAGAGTTAGAAGGTATACTTGAAACATTATTCTGCATTTCACAGATGGAGAAACTGAAATCCAGAGAAAGGGAGGAATTTACCTCACCCACACACTAAATTAATTGCAGAGCAGGACTAGAGCTTGTAGCTCCTGGCTCCTGTCAAGGGCCAGTAGTCCTTCCCCACATATCTGTTCTTGATCTGTTCCCACTGCCACTCAGTCTATCCTCTTATCTTATGGGTATGGCAGTGTTTCCTAGTTGGCTTTCCCTACTTCTGGTCCCTCTGCATCAGTATGTTCCATACATATGACCTAGAGTTGCATGGAAGCATGGCCTTCATATTGTCTTTTCACTCCTAAGAGAACTTGCCCATTTTCAACTAGGAGGGTCATCTGGCTCCTGGCTCAGTCTGCAAATGATGAGCCAAGAATATATTTCTTGACAGGGAGCTCATCACTTCTGGAATGGTCCATTCCCTTCTTACTTAGTATTGCCTACTAGAGTACTTTATAAAGAGCTGAAATTGTTCTCCTGGATGTACACCCTGAATGGATGTTCAGTCCAGACAACAAATGTGAGTTTAATGTGGGTTAGGTCCTGGGTGGACTTGATACTGAAGGGAAAAGAAAGAATCTTCCCTTAGAATCTGTGGCTTAGAGGTTCTCAGGTTTTTTTTTTTTTTGTTTTAGTAAAACTAAGTAATAAGAATCTAAATCTCCTTTGTATGACAGCCTTTCAGGTATTTGGAAATAGTCACTATATTTTCCTGAGTATTTAGATTGTTCACAAGGGCCTTCCTGGTGGCGCAAGGGGTTAAAGCACAGCATTATGAAGTTACCTGCAGCCACTGCAGCAGCACAGCAGACCGCTCCTGTCTGGAGCCCTGAGGCCCTCAGCAGTGTATTTCAGTCACTCTGCCTGTTCTGTTCCCCCACTCTCTGGTGAATTCTCTCACTTCCCACCCCTCTGGCCTGTATCCCAGTTCTTGTATGCATAAATAAATCTTAAGAACAACAACAAAAAAATCATTCACCAAGAGACATGGCATCCTGGTCCTCAGCATTTTGGTTTCCTCTAGGCAGACTCCTGTGTGACAATATCAACTTCAGGCCTGGATCCCATGGTCCAGCTGTGAACCACCCAGGGCAGCACAAAGCTGGGGTAGCCTCCTGTTTCTGTTAATATGGTATCTACGTTCACTTTTCTTTCCTTTGCTTTTGCCTTCCTTTCTTCCTTCCTTTCTTTTTTGCAGTCATGCATTGTTGAGTTTGAGGTCAAGGCCATCTTTAATTCCTTTTCACTGGACTTAATTCAGATTCTTTCTATCCTATATTTTAGAGAATTGTGTTGTCCTCTATGACAACTACTAGCCTCATGTGGCAGTTTAAATAAAGCATTTAAAATGAAATAAAATTTCAATTTCTCAAGTATATTAGCCCTGCATGTGACACTCAGCATTCTGATCCCTTCTAGCAGTTGTGAAGTATAGAATACTACACGTTTTATTGCTCCTGTTTCATTGTGCTTTGTAGATGTTATGTGTTTTTCCAAAATGAGGATTTGTGGCAACCCTGTGTGGAGCAAGTCTATCAGCACCAAATTCCCAATAGCATATGCTCACTTTATTTCTCTGTGTCACATTTAAGTAAGACATGTCAGTTGAACATATGTGTACATTGTTTGTTATACATGTTATTGTGCATTGCACTTAGTAGATTACAGTATCATATGCATACATAACATATATGTATGCAAGCACTGGGCAACCAAAAAAGTCATCTTACTTGCTTTTATTGCAATATTTGCTTCATTGAAGTGGTCTGGAATGGAACCTCTGGTGGTCTGGAATGGAATGGTATTTCTGAGGAGTGCCCACAGTTTAACAAATGAGGCCTACATACCAGTATCTGGGTATTAGTCACATTTCAAGTGCTCAACAGTCACAGGTGGTTAGTGACCATCACATCAGCAGCACAGAGTCAGAATATTTCCATCATCACAGAAAGTTCTATGGGACTGTGCTGGTTTGGACTGAAGGGTTGAAATTTATATTATTTCTGTGTGGCACTTTATTTTGTTAGTTCTTGCTTAGCCCCCATGGCTGCTAGATCTTTTAGAAGCCAGAGTCTTTGCTGTCCTTCCCAACATCATGACACCTGTAGATTTGATTAGCATCTGGTGCCTTTCTCTGCTTCATCTTGGGAATTAGTTTCCTCATTTGGAATCTGGCTCTGAACTTTATAAGCTATGTGAGGTCTTCGTGGTTTAGTTTCCTAATGTACAAAGTGGGGTGAAAGTAACCTTACCCTGCAGTGTTTTTGCGGGGTTAAATGAGTAAAACTTTTAAAGCAGTGCTTTAAACATCTTAGTTGTCATTAATTCTGGTTAATAATTAGAATTCACCCCACTGCTGTACCCCAAGACCCTTGGACACTCCTTGGTCAGTCCTTTGGGGCCTTGGTGTCTTCAGTTTTGTTTATTTATAGAAGTCAAGATCCAGAAGAGACCTTCTCTTGATTTCTTATGTTTTGCTGCTCACTTGGCATATAGTATCTTATACTGGAGCCTGGGGTATCACAGGGAAGAACTTGAATAGTTGTTGGACTGTCTTGGCTTTGTGCTGTCAGGTGGAGAGAATTAGGACCGTCTACTCACCTACAAAATAGGTTGATCACAACTGCCACATAACACGGTGGTCATGGCTAAACAAGACTGAAAGAAAGCTCTGCACTTAGTAGGACCTTATATGCCTAGGATTTTCAATAAAATCACTTGCTTCCCCTCTCCTTACTCCCTCACCTCATTTGCCCATTTCCTGCCTTTTATTTAGTGTTTTGACAAAGGCAGCCAGTCTCATTATTTTGTGCATTTCTGGAGAGGCCGTTCCTAGCCCAGGAGCCCCGAGGCAGGAATTTCCCCAGTTTCATCTTTGGCATTGGGAACACCACCTTCTCACCCCTGCTCTTTAGGGCTTGTTGGGTTCGTTTCTCTCCTTCCCGAACCTCAGTTTATACTCGAAGTAGGACCTGAAGAAGCGCCTAGCCAGGGGGGTATGGCGTTATAATCCCAATTTAGAACAGCTCTTTACTTTGGGCGTGCCTGCCCTGTGGAAGGGTGGGCGTCCGGACTCTCAGAGCACCCAGGGTCCAGGGGTATTGCCACCTGAGAGGGGGCTGAACCAGCCGCGCTGTCTCCCTCAAGCTCCGGCCGCGGGAACAATGGGAGGGCGGTGGGAAGGCGGGTGGGCGGTGGCCAGGTCCCGGCTGGAGGTAGGGGAGGCGGGTAAGCTGGGCGCGAGGCTGTGGGGTTAGCCCGGGGCACCGGGTCTAGAACCGAAGCGTCTTGGTCTTGGAAAGCCGAGGTCGGAGTGGGGATCCGGTAGAGGCGGGGGCGGGGCCGAGCCCACCAGCTGGAACCCGGAGGACTAGGAGGCCAGGAGTGGGGTCTTCGCTTCCAGGCGCTGCTGCACGCCCCCGCCCCCGAGTCCGCCGCGGCTCAGGTAGGCGCCCAGCGCGGGGCCCACGTGGGGAAGCGGGCCGCGGGCCTCCACCACCAGGCGGGCTGGCGGGGCTCAGCCCCCTCCTCTGCTCCCCTCCCCGAGGGCCGGCGCGGCTCCTCCCGACGCGCGGCCCCGGCTCTGGCGATTCCCGCGGCGGCGGCGTTTCCCCGGCTGCTCGCCGTCCACCGCCGCTTCTCGCTCGCTAGCCGGTGGCTGGTGGGGCGGCTGGGATCGCCGACGCCTCCTCCCCGGGAGCCGCCGGGGCGGGGCGGAGGGGGGGGGCACCGGGTGTGGGGGGCGGGCGTGGAGGGGGCTGAGCGCCGTGGGAGGGAGAGAGCGCGCGAGCGAGCGAGGAGAGGGGCATTTCTGCGCAGCTCGAGTGCGCCTCGGAGCCCGCCCGGGCGGCCGCCCGACGCACCGACAGAGGACAGACAGCGCCTGGAAGCCGCGCCGCCGCCGCCGCCGCCAGGTTAGCCGTCCCGCCGCCGTCCTCCGGGACTCGGGGGCCCGTCCCGCCGCGTCAGACCTCCTGAGTGTGAGTGTGTGGGGGTGTGTGTTCACCACTGAGGGCTCGGAGTCTGGCCCCTCCTCGAGCACTGACTGACAGGCCAGCTCTAGGGGGCTGACACCGCCGCGGCGGGGTACGGGCGCCCGAGCGAGGAGCTCCTGGTCTCGCTTCGTGCGTCTCTGTACTAGCGCCCATGTAGATGTCGGGGTCCACGTCTTCGGGTGTGTGTTGGGTGTGAGCGCGCGAGTGCCCGCGAGTCTGTGTAAGTGTCTGCGCTGTGTGAGCGCGCGCTCGTGTGCCCCGGGTGTGCATCTGTGTGTGTTCACCATTTCTCAGTCCGAACTGTGTGGTGTGTGTGTATCTGGGTGTGCGTGTGAGTGTCTGAGTGTGTCTGTTCTTGAATGTGACTGTGAGAGGGTGTGTCCGAACGTGTAGCTGAGTGTGTGTACATCTGGATATGGGTGTGTGCCAGTAGCTTCGCTGCTGGCTGGAGCTTGTGGCGGGGTGTGTGTGTGTTGCCGTGTGAACACCAGTGTGATTCCCCGTGTGTGCGCGTGTGAGGGCGGGTGTGCACCCGCGTAGCCCCGCGTAGCCCCCTTGTGCGTGTGCGCGGCTTTGTCTCCGCACTGCCGGGAGGAAGGGGTGGGGGCGGCGGCCGAGGCGCCGCTGTCGCCTGGAGCCCGGCACCTGGACGGGGCGGTGGGTGGCGGTGGAGGGAGCGTCTCTGCCTGGCGGAGACTCCCTGCCGGCAGGTGGGCGGCCACACCCCGGGGGCCAGTGGAGATAGGCTGAGGGCGTGTCCTGCCGGAAGCCGTGTGTGTGTGTGTGTGTGTGTGTGTGTGTGTGTGTGGTGTGTGTGTGGATGGGTGCATGTGGGTGCGTGCGATCGTGGTGGTGGTGACATCAGATCCCAGACTGGTGACCCAACGGGTTCAGGGATCCATTTCCTGTCGCCCAGACACCGACTGGGCCGGACCAGGTCACTGACGCCCCCACCCTCCCGCAGCCCGCTCCAGCTTAGGAGCCGCACCTTAGGGGCCCTCAAGTGAGGAGGGAGAACCACTTTCTTCTTAAAGGGCCAGTGTCCAGGCTCTAAGGAATCCCCTCTCAGGAGACCTCTACTTGGAGAGAGGTCTCTGGGTGTGCCTGGATCTCTTTCCCCATGCATTGGTGCAGTGCATGCATGCATTTCTAGATCTGTAGTCTGTGCAAGTGTGTTTTCTTCGATGTATTTCTGTTGCATTTGTGTGTATAGGTATATTTTAATCATTGAATAGTAAAGGTAGCTCTTGATATATATGTGTATGTGTTTTATGAATTCTCTAGTATATTTGTTTTTATGTACATACTCCTGTTTATATATTAATGCATCCATCTGTGGATGTGGGTTTTTCAGAGAAGTGGCACTTCTCTACCAACTGGAATAGTATAGAGAAATTCTGTCCAGGCCTACTCTATTTTTAAAAAACTGAATAATAGAAAGGTGATTTGGGAACTTAGTTCTTGTCTTTGTGCATTTCAGATGCTGTTCTGAAATGTAGGTAAATTGGGATTAGACTGGATACAAGAGAAAAAGAAACTGCGACTTTTATAGGAAGAAGGAATTGTTATAGAAGAAAGATATCCCAAGAGCAAGAAATTCTTTTAGTTTCTATTCTTCCCTGTAACTTCACCTCCCCCTCTGCTGCTTGCCTTGCCAGGATAAAGTGCACAGGATATGGAGTGTAAAGGGAGGGAGTCAGGAGTGTAAAAGGAAGGAGGCTGGATGGGTGATAGGATTGGGGGCCAACAGCAGATTTCAGCAATTCTTGAAACGTCTCCCTGCCAAAAGCAGCAGAAGCTGGGGAGGCTGAGCTTCTATCCCCTCCCCTGAATCTCTTTCCCAGGATAGGGAAACCCCTACCCTGGAGCTCAGGAACTCTGGAGTCTGGTTTGGTCAAACCTTTTATGTGTTTAACTGTTCACTAAACACATTTTTATTGTGCTTGTCTAGATTCTGGGACTCTGAGGCCCCTTCCCTTGATCAGAGTGGTAGAAATTGTTTCATTGTTACTCAGATTTAGGAATCTAGCTTTCTAGTCCCCAAGGACCCTGACTGTGTTCCTCACTATTTCCTCTCACCCCCATGTACTCTAGTCTAGAACAGTTGTACTCAAAGCATGGTGATTCTACCACCAGCAGTAGAGTCACCTGGGAAATTGTTAGAAAGGCAGATTCAGAACTACTGAATTAATAACTTGGGGTAGGGTCCGGTGGGCTATGGTTTCACAAACACAGGTGATTCTAATGCATTCTGGAGCTCAAGGGAAGTGCAACCAGAGAGTCAGCACATCCTATAGGTTGAAACACTCAAGAGAGTCTTCCCTGTCTCCTCCCCCACACATGGTTAAAATAACCAGCAGCCCTATCCTGACAGATAGGTGTTCAGGTTTCAAGTCCCAGGTCTTCCTTGTGATTTTGGACACATCACTCCTTCATTGAATAATACAGTGACCTGTTGACAGTATCTGCTCTGGGCCATTTACAAAGCAAGGGCTTTCCCTGGGCTTTTCTGATTCTCTAGTCACTCCTTACCTTGATTTTAAAGACCTGCTCTCCTCTCTGGAAACCAGCCACTTGGGCCTTCCTTTAGTTTACCCTGGAGTTTTTTTTTTGCCTCATGCATATTGCACATGCCATTCTCTCTGTCTACCACACTCTTCCTCTGCTTATTGTTTTGGTTAACTCCCACTCCAGATTTCAGCTCAAGAGTCACTTTCTCAGAGGGGCCTCTGCCAACTCCCTAGGCTAAGTCAGTTTTTCCTGTTACACTTCTTAGAGCTCCTTGTGCTTATGAGAGTGCTCACAGTGCTTATGAGAACTTGTTATTATTCGTGAATTTGTTGGTTGTCTGTCTGTCTCTCCTGCAAATACCACTTGGGCAGGAAATTTGCTTGTCAGTCTTCCTAGTGTCCTTCACTGACCCCAAGTGCCTGGCGTGTGATTGGTATTGAATAAATGTGTTGAATGAATGACTTTATAAAATGGGAGACAGTACTAAATGTACTCAAAGTTTCCTCTGAAGCTCTGACATTATAATATCTAAGGAGACCTCAGACTTTTTGAAGTAGCGTTGTCTATCTTTTTTAACTGCTCCATCTCCAGGCCATAGATTTGAGTCTCCATTGTGTGCTCAGCCCATGCTGGGTTCTCCTCTAGGGGAGACAGGAACTCTTCAGGAGACATACCAACCTGGCTTCTGGCACCTTCCTAGATTAGGATCTTGCAAGAATGAGACAAGAAAGAGAGTTGAATAAGGATTCTAAAGATCTGGCCCATATCTTGTTACCTGACTGTGGGTAAGTCTCTTCCCTTTTTCTTACATCCTCTTCTGTAAAATGAGGATAACAGGGTGGATGATGTACCTAGTGTTAGTAGCAGCTGCTGGAGTCTTTTTGGCCTTGTCACATACTGTCTTGGAGTAACTTGAGCAAATGACTTCATCTCTTCACTTTTTTGCTTATAGAAAAGGACCAATAATAGTACCTGTTTCATAGGATTGTTTTGAGAATGAAACCAGGTTACACACATGAAATGCTTTGCACAGTGCTGAGTACATAGTAAACATTTGGTAGATGTTAGCATTTGTTACTGTTATGGCTACTAACAATTAAATTCAACATTCTGGAGCTGGGTTCTAAGCCTACAGAAACAGAAACACATACGTGTTCCATGCTGTATGTATGGAACAGACGTGTAAAGATGGCAGACGTGTAAAGATGTATAGTGCTCAGGGTGCCAGAGTGTGGCGACACATGCAGGAGAGAAGTGGCATTTGGGGCTGGATTTTATCTTCCAGGTAGTTGGAGCAGCATGTTAGGGGGAACTCCATATACTTCCAGTGGCGAAACAGAAGGTGGCAAGTAGTAGGGACAAGTGGGGTGAGTGACTGGGATAAACCCTGGGGCCAGATTTGGTACTGGCTAAAGAAGTTGACTGAGTCCTACAAGTGGTAGGGAGCTAGAGAAGAGGATTAAGCTAGTCAAGAAGGATCATATTTGCATTTCAAAACCACAGCTCTCCAGGTGGTGCTGGAGATGGCCTGGGTGGAAGGAGGAGGAATGTGGACTGGGAGACTGGGCTCAGAGGGTGCTTGTTTGCATGATGGAAGGGCTAAGTAAATTGGATAGAGACCTAGAACATGGATGAAACACACTTGTTAGACTTCTGGCCAGGCAGGTGAAAGAGAGATGAAAATGACCCCCCCAGGCTCCCTTTAACTTCCCAGACTCCCTAATGAGCAGGCCTGGGACTGCTTCTCAGTGGATACAGAATGTATTAATTTCCTAAGGCTGCTTACCACAGCCCCACAAGCTGGGTGAGCTTAAAAAGCGGAAATGTATTCTCTCACATTGCTGGAGCTAGAAGTCAAAAATCAAGGTGTTGGCAAGGTTGGCTCTTTTTTGAAGGCTCTAAGAGGGGAGTCTGTTTCATGCCTCTCTCCTGCTGGTAGTTGCCAGCAATCCTTGGCGTTCCCTGGCTGCTGTTGCATCTGCCTGTGCTGTCACATGGCTTTCTCCTATTTCCCTCTGTGTATCTCTGTGTTGTTTCCTCTTCGTATAAGGACACCGGTCCTTATAGAATTTAGAGCCTACCCAGTGCGATGTGACCTTATTTTAATTAATTTAATCACAAAGATTCTTTCCAAGTAAGGTCACATTCTAAGGTAGGTATGAATTTTGGGGGTGAGGGACACCATTCAACTCAGTACATGCGGGAGGATGGAAAAGAGTGCAGCTCTTGGGGCCCCACAAGCCCAGGTCCAAATTCAGGCTTCAGTGGACTAGTCAGAGGGTAGATAAGTTACTTTTCTTTTCTTTTCTTTTAAGATTCACTTATTTATGCTTACAGAACTGGGGTACAAGCCAGAGGTGCAGGGGGTGATGAGAGGCTTCACCAGAGACAAAGTGGGGGGCAGAACA